AACTCTCATACATTTTTAGTGGAGTGAAAAATGGTGCAACCACTTTGGAAAATAGGCAGTTTCCTCTAAAATCATACATATTTCTACCCTATGACTTACTAATTCCACTCCTAGGTATTTACCCAATGGAAATGAAAACACATATTCACATAAAGATTTATAAACAAATGTGCATAACAATTCTTATCTACAAAGGCCCAAAACTACAAACAACTTCCTCATTAATAGAAGAATGATAAACTAACTATACTATTTTCCTGCAGTTGTATATCTGTTCAAAAACAAAATATATGAGCTCTGGATGCACACAGAACTATGGATTAATAAAAAAAAAAAATACAGTGAATAAAAGAATCCAAACAGAAAAAGAGAGCATATTTTATCATATTATTTATATCAAATTATAGAACAGAGAAAACTAGTCCATGCAATAGTAAAAAATATCAGAATAATTGTTCCTGAGAACAAATTACTTGAGATCACAAAGGATCTATTTGACAACGGTCTATCAAAAATAATTGAACTGAACAGCCTAATTAGAAAATAACACAAAGCTCAAATATATATTTCACCAAAGAGAAAAATCACATGGCTAATATGCATATGTAAATATATTTAACATCATTGACCATTATGTTGTTGTTAGGTGCCATCAAGTTGGCTCCAACTCATAGCGACCCTATGTGCAGAAGAATGAAACACTTCCCAGTCTTGTACCATCCTCACAAACTTTGCTACACTTGAGCCCATTATTGCTGCCACTGTGTCAATCCACTTTGTTGAGGGTCTTCCCCTTTTTCATTGACACTCTACTTTCCCAAACATGATATCCTCTGGATATCATGGAGTGGTCCCTTCTGGCAACATGACCAAAGTAGGTGAGACAAAGTGGCCATTCTTGCTTCCAGGGAGCATTCCAACTGCCCTGCTTCCAGGGAGCATTGCAGCTGCCCTTCTTCCAGGACAGATTCGTTCATTCTTCTGGCAGTCCATGGTATTCTCAGTATTCTTCACCAACACCACAATTCAAAGGCATCAACTCTTCTCCAGTCTTCCTTATTTGTTGCCCAGCTTTCACATGCATATGAGGTGACTGAAAATACCATGGTTTGGGTTAGGTGCACCTTAGTCTTCAAACAGACATCTTTGCTCTTCAGCACTTTAAAGATTGCAACAGATTTGACCAGTGCAGTAAATCATTGGACGTTTTGATTGTTGCTTCCAATATAATGAAAACAAAAATCCTCATAACTGGACCAATAAGCAGCATCGCAATAAATGGAGAAAAGACTGTCAAGGACTTCATATCATTTAGTTCTACAATCAACACCAATGGAAGCAGCAGTCAAAATATCAGACAACATATGTTGTTGTTGTTGTTATGTGCTGTGGAGTCAGACCTGACTCATAGCGACCACTCCTTGGGTTTCTGAGGCAGTATCACTACGGAAGTAGATTGCCCCATCTTCCTTCCAAGCAGACAACGTATAGCACTGGGCAAATTGGCTGCAAAAGACCACTTTCAAGTGCTGAAGAGCAAAAATATCTCCTCATATGCAAGTGGGGGCTAGATAGTAAATAAGAAAGACCAAAGAAGTCGATGCTTTTGAGTTGTGGTCTTGGCAAAGAATGTTGAAAGAACTAACAAATCTGTCCTGGAAGAAGTGCAGCTGGAATGCTCCTTGGAAGCGAGAATGGCCAGACTATGTCTCACCTACTTTGGTCATGTTGTATAATGGAACCATTCCCTGGAGAAGGATATCATGCTTGGTGAAGTGGGGGGTTGATGAAAGAGGAGAAGGACCTCAATGAGATAGATTGACACAGTTGCTGCAATGATGGGCTCAGGTATAGCAAGGCACAGGACTGGGCAGTGTTCATTCTGCTGTGCACCGGGTCACTGTGTGTCGGAGATGACCTGACAGCACCTAACAACGACAACAAGAGGTTTACATTGAAGCTTCCAGCGGGCATCATTTTAAAATTTTGCGTTCTTGTTACATTTCACTTCTAAATTTGATTTTGTGTCATAATTTTACCTAATTAATTACAGAGTAATTGTTTCCTATCTTGGATGAAACAAATTTTTGGAGGTTAATGACTTAGATAATAATAAGAGATTTGGGTAGGACCCATGTTCACAAATATTTTTTGACATGTAGTTTTTATCTTATTTAGGACAATGAGATTTCTACTTTCCAAATACACATAGTGAAAATATGTAATCAAATTAAAACAAATAAAAGTTTTCTTTTTTTTTTTTTTAAGACTTGAGGTTTATATTTAAACTGTTTTTGGCCACAAGAGGGTCTATATTGTAATTTTTCTTATCAAAATGTAGTATTGCTTGCATATTTTCTTATTTTTCTCGAGTATTATTTTTAAGCCTAAGTATTTATGAAGGTATTCTAATGGGAAACTTAGTCACACACCCTTGTGTACTAATTGAAACAAATAGAAAGAATATGTAACACTCCTTATTGTAATCACAAGTATAAGTTAGAAGCCAGTTTATATTTATTTCCTTTTAAATAGTTTTCTACATTTTTTTGACAATGCAATTATATCATTTAGCCAGATACATTTTTAATCCAGCAATAGCAACACTCACTTATTTAGCAATGAGAACATAATGTGTGTGAGGGTGAGAAAAGTGATATGAAGAAGGGTGAGAATCTGAATTTGCAAAAGATAATATTTAGATTCCAGTTCTGTGGGGTTTTGTACCACATCATAGGGACAGCCTTTTTACCATCAAACCAGAAAAGCAAACTCACTGCCATCGAGTCGGGTCCGATTCAGCAATCCCTGCTTGGGTTTCCAAGGCAGTATCACTACAGAAGTAGATTGCCCAACCTTCCTTCCAAGGAGTGGCTGGTGGGTGTGGGTTAGCAGTCAAAGGCCTTAGGCACTACACCACCAGAGCTCCCCTTTTTACCACAGTGGTTGTTTTATGACTTTATTTTGCTGTATTTATTTGTTTTTTATCACGTTGAACTTAATGACTGGGCTTTATCACAGAATTTCAAGGATACTGTGGTTTAGGTTCAGTCCTAGTGACTTTGAAGCTGCTTTGCTGTCTATCATGGCATTTCCCCACTTCTTCTGGGTTGAATCCTGGTATATTCTTACTTAAAGATATTAGACATTATGTAAAATGGTATTTTATAGGAAGGAAGAGATTCTTTCAACTTAAGTTCAGCTCAAGGGAGTGATAAAATGTAAAGGTAATTTCAGATGAAATATATGATCTAATCCTTATGTCCATAAAATAATACGTGTTGAAATTTCTATATATTTACCATTACCTTCAAACTAGACTTAATATGTTCTTATATTGGTAACATTTGTGATGAGAAGGTGGAGTTGTGTTCTGACTTGTAGTATACAAATAGACTGAAAGACATTTCAGGAAATTTTAATGATAAAACTCATACTTGCAATTGGTAAAATATAAATATTTGAGAAAATAATCCAATATGACATTTCTAACATTCAATTAAGAATTAAATTATATACTGATAAATAAATGATGCTAAGCTGTTTAAAGTTTCATCAGCTATCTTTAACATTGATTTTCATCAAAATTACTGTACTACAATGTTTTCTTTTGTTTTGCAGACTCAAATAGCAAACCTCAATTTTAAAATCGACTCTTATTTGTGAAAAATGCTTTGACATAGTGCATTTGTTCTGCCTGGGCAGCAATAAAGGATTGTGGTATCATTTTGAAGAAGGTTGTTTGACAGAGCCTGGTTGTTTATTTGGGGTAATGTGAGCTGCATTCAGAAAATGCCATATTTTGTTTCATGATTGTATACATTCTCTCCCTTTGCTCCCAGGCAAGACTTGTAAGCAGAGAAGACACGGATTTAGACCTTTTTTCCATGACCAGTGGAAGTGCTTTGTCTGTGAACAGAGAAAAAAAAAATCAAGCACACAGACACTCAGCGGGATCTTCAAGTAAGTTGTGGTTTCCTTCAGAATTAATTTAGAAATCACAAATGAATTGATGGAACCTGATGCCAACAAGCATTCTTTTACGGATGGGGGTAGGATGCCCACAACCAGAACTGCCCAAAAATGTGTATTTGGTTTTTTTTTCTCTTTCTTTAAATGCCTTCTTTTGATATAAACAAAATTAAATTATTTCTAAAATTAACAGTATTGTTTCTTCTTTTAATTTGTATTCTTTGATTCATTTTTTTTCTCCCTGTGGGTCACATTTAATTCTTTGATCTTTCATTTCTAAAAGAATTTTTTAAGCTAATTATAAAAATTTGGATTTAGATATCAAAATTGGGTATTTTGGCCTTTTGTCATTGATTTAATAGATATTGTAGATAAACAATTTTTAAAGGAAACTATAAAAAAGCAGAATTTTAGATAATGTCATATTGTCAAAAATCTGTTTTGTAAAACTATTTACATTTGATTATGTTTAGTAATAATGACTTTTTGTATGTGTAAACCTATCACCCACTTCTATCTTTTAATATGGGGAAAAAACAGTTTTCTTCAAATTTGTAACATATCATGGTTTCAACAAGAATGGCATTAGCATCTAATTTTCAAAATCTTCATTTAACTTATACTGTAAAGACTTTGGAGTATCTTTTAAAATTGATAGTTTATTAATACAAAATATATTGTATCTTATAACATGTTTTATTAATTTCCCCAGAAGTATATTAAACCTCAAAATAACTTAACTTTCATCAGAAGTACTAGGTTATTCTGGAGAAAGCTTCATTACTCAATAATAATGTAGTCACATGCATACAAAGTCAATATTTGATTGAATGTGAAAATCCAGTCATTCAGATTGTTCTCCAGATAAATGGAAACTTCAGAATGATCCTCTGATATTCACTTTTCATTCAATATATGGCATTCCTAGATGTAAATCATTTAAATATATTAATGTATTTAAGATAATTTTGGTAAAATTTAATTTGCCCTTTGAAATAAAATGTTTAATGTGTCTAACATAAAAATATTTCCCAGACTTCAAAGATCTTAGAATACTTGAATTGTATTATTTGATTACATAATCTGGTCATTGAAAATTGCTCTAGTCAGTATTATTATAAAAGTAATATTTTAGATTTATTTACCTAAGTAATACTATTAATAGACATTTTCCATTATTAGCATGATGTATTAATAAATCAACTTTTGCAGCATATCCTCTATTTCAGAAGGAATCAAACTGTCACTCATAATAATAAATAATGCTATTCATTTTATGTATTGATCATTACAAATTCATATGATACCACATTGAAGTATGTTAGGTAAAAATAAAATAAAGCAAAAAACACTGTTACTTTATAGAATATCAAAACTTTGTTTTAATATGTGTTTTGAATATTAATACGTAAATGTCTCAGTAGATCAGTAACTATCATGAAATACACAGGCTTCCTTTTTGCTTATATGACACTGATGCATATATTTTAGAGCACACAAGATTATATAGAGTTCATTTCTGAAAAACATTCTCTGAGAAACTGAAATAATGCTATTCTCACTGTGATTCCAATTAGTTTTTAACAAGTGACACTACTACTCGTCTCTAAATCCCCTTTACTAAGAGGCAATATAAGATAAGGCACTTTAGAAAAATTATTATTATTATTATATAGTAGAATGACTATGACTAAAACACTCCTTGCCTAATGACAGTACTTACTTGTGTACTATAACATCAGCATAATATGGCGATAAAGAATGTGAGCTCTGAAATCAATTTGCCTGCATTCAAGTCATGACCCAATTGCTTCATCCTTAAAAGGGGAATGTAGAGTCATTGTGAGGGTCAAATGTAGAACATTTAGAATGACATCTGGTACACAATAAGCAGTTAATAAATGCTCTTTATAGTCATCCCCTACATAGCTGCCAATGGAAAATCAATTGAGCTGGCAGCATAATACCTGAGGCAGTTGACTGCTAACCAGAAGGCTGGTGGTTCAAACCCACCAGCCACTCCTCAGAAGGAAGGTTGGGCAATCTACTTCCGTAGTGATACTGCCTCAGCAACCCAAGGAGGGGTCGCTATGAGTCGGGGCCGACTCCACAGCACATAACAACAACAAGATATTAAAGTCTCTAGTATCTAGCCACATGGGCTAACAGGCTCAGCTCATGAGAAACCTTATTCTAATAATTCTTTGAGTAAAACATTTAGCATAAACTATTATGCTGTATAAATCCTTTAACTTCAAAATCTTTGGGTCCTAGGCCTCCATGACCCTGAGCCAACCACTCACAGATTCAGTATTTTGAAAGCTCTTTTTTCCTTCAGTTTTCTTTCCCTCAAAACTTGTCACTTTATTAAAGCTAATGTATTTCTTTTAGCTTTGCAAGACAAATCTAATAAGTAGTTTTTTGGTTGTAGCTATAGAATTTTCTTTTAGCCTTTTTTAGGTGTTTCTCTCTCAATGCTGCCAACATACTAGAATATATATTCTAAAGAATTTGATAAATTCAGGTTTAAAAATACCACTTGCACATCATGTATCAGTTGTTATGACCTTGGATAAATTAGTTAACTTCTATGAATTACTTGTCCATAAAATGAAGAATGTTTACCTCATAGGAATTTAGTGAGGAATAAATAAGCAAATATATGTAAAGCTTGTGGTATATTGCCTCCAAAGCAAAAACCAAACTCACTGCCATCAAGTTGATTCTGACTCATAGCGACCCCCATTTGGTATCTGAGGCAGGAAAACTTTATAGAACTAGATTACCTCATTTTCCTTCTGTGGAGCGGCTGGTGGGTTTGAACTGCCAACTTTCTGGTTATCAGTCAAATGCCTTAGGCACTGCACCACCATAGGTCCTTCAATATATTGCCTACCATATAGTAAAGGCTTAAAGAATAGCATCTTTGGTTTCACTGCTTGTTGTTGTTATAAGTTTTATGTTGCTATTAATAATTCTAAAACAACCCCAAAGTAGAATTGGCTTCCTTTTATGTTAAAACATTCAAAAAAAGATCAGAGTGCTTTAAGCATGCCAACCACTTCAAGCAATAGTTTTTGTTTTGGTTTGGTTTTGGTTTTGGTTTTCCTTAGAGACTTGCCAAAATTTTCTGTTCCTTTCTTTTGGTCTAACTAGTCTCTTAAAAAGGAGCTCTGGTAGCATAGTGCCTAAGGCACTTGACTGCTAACCAGAAGGCTGGAGGTTCAAACCCACCAGCCAGTCCTCAGAAGGAAGGTTGGGCAATCTACTTCCATAGTGATACCACCTCAAAAACCCAAGGAGGGGTCACTATGAGTAGGGTTTGACTTGATGCACATAACAACAACAATATTCTCTTAAAATAAGCCAAGGTATTCAACTGCTTCCTAGCCTTCTAATTTATCTTATGGTTTAAAAGGGGTCATATTCTCATTCAAGCATTTTTTCATTTTATAAAATGAAATTGCCAAGATATTTTCTCATAAATTTAGAAAAAAATATTTTATTTCATTAATGGCTGTGGCTTTCTTGATTCATTTCCTCTATTAAATACAAAACTAATGAATTACAGTAGTAATAATTTTATTACTATACATTTATAACTTTACAAATTATGTTTAATTATCTTTTCTTATTTATAATGATTGTTTTCCTTTTACAGTTAATATAAATGAGACTCAGGGAGTTTAACTAATTTGTCATTGGCACAAAAAACTACAAGGAACTTGAAGTCAGCTTTCCTTATTCCAAAACCAGAGTCATATTACCTTTTACTCTTTTTATTTATTTATTTATTTATTTATTTTGCCTTTTCTCTTCTATGGACTAAAATACATAGTTTAGTTAGTAAAAGAGTAAAACATATATTACTATAGCTCTTATCACTTATTCATTTATTCAAGGCCCATTTTTTGAATCATCACTATATACTTGGCATTGGTTTCAAATTCCCTCTTTCCAGAACATGTTCCATTTTCAGTGTTAGCCACAGATTGAGAATCTACACTGCCTCTGTAATAGTGTACAATCAATCCCATAGTCAAGTTCCTCTTCCAGCTTGTCTAAACTTCTTGTGAAATATAAGTCCATTTACTATGGTACTGAATTATCTGAATGTGGAAAAACATTGTTCAGAATTTAAGTAATTAATGTAGTTGAAAAGGATGTACTTGATTTGTACCTACAATAACAATCATCTTTTAAATTTTTTAATGGTGGAAAAAAGCCATCTAAACAAAAGCAAAGTCTAAAGTATGAATTTATATTTGTGGAACATTGAGAACACCACTCTTTCTGGGTCAGAAGCTCCACATACTAAAGTAACATAAATTAAGGTTGGATTAAAAATGAAGCTTAATTTTAGATAAAGTGAATTGGAATATTTAGATTTTTCTCCTAACAATGTGTAAGTAATGAAAACTTCTGAAAATATCATTATTTTAGAAAGCTTAATATCATTTGCAGGAAAATATTCTAAGTTTGTCCTAACAATATTCACTGCTTCTAGTACATTGACAGTACAATTTTACAGTTCTTACATATGTTAAACCTCGGAAGAAAGGTTGGGCAACCTACTTCCCTAGTGATAACTGCCTCAGAAACCCAAGAGGGGTAGCTATAAGTTGGATCCGACTCAATGGCAGTGAGTTGAGTTGAGTTACATATGTTAAAACAATTTTATCTATCACAAGTACAAACTGAAATAATTTATTAGATGTCTAATAATATTTTCTTAAACTAAAAGTGTAGCTAAAGCAAGTGTAGCTTCCAAAGACTAGTACTGAGGTTTACTCCAAATGGAATAAGCACATTCCAATAATATAATTTAAAATTTGCAAATCAAGCATTTTTAGCATGTTGTGTGTACATACATGTCAGTGTGTATATATAAATATATATACACATATATATGAATATTCGAGTTGTGCATAGTTGCAGCATATATACATAACACACATTACATTTATAATCCCACATTGAGTAAACTTGAGGATTAAATATTATTGCATATATCTGTGGACCAATATATACCCAACCATAC